TAGCATGCTATCTTCTAGCATGCATCAGGTTAGCATGCTATCTTCTAGCATGCATCAGGTTAGCATGTGTTCAGCTAGCTTCATTACTAAAGTGCTATCTCTGGTTCAGAACGTCTTCTTTCCATATTCTAAAAGTTGTTATTATGTTAACATGAAAAATAAAATGCTATTCCAACAAAAGTATGCAGTTGCTATCGTAAGATGCTATACAGCCTCTCCACAATGGTTGATACAAACAAGATATTTATATTAATTTGCTCCTCTGTGCTGAGGCAGGTCTCTACCTCCAACGTTTACTAAAAGAGGCACATATGTGAGTGAAAGACCTACATGTTACGTAGAAGTAACACTTGTAGCTAATAACATGCAACAGAACATATTTGCTGTTTTGCACAGTACCACTGCTTGATTGAAATGCAAGTTTATTATCAGTCCCTCAGCCCATTTCCACTTTCACGGCAGCGCTCCGTTCATGTCATTCCACTGATGCTCACAGCTGTTTGTCACTTACTGCATCTACTACATCAGCTTTGTCCTTCATTCCCCTCTTCCTCTTGGTTTGAGTTCTAACTTCAGTCCTTGTTTTTAATTTTCCTTTTTTTTCTTCCCTTCTTTCTTACATGTAATTCTCTGTCTTGTCGTTTGTTTGTCACGTGGTGGTGGCTCACTGTTGGCTGGTTGTGTGTGTGTTTTCCGTGTGTCGTCACGGTGGGTGTTATCTAGGTTTGGCCAGCACAGTCATTTGCACTCAACAGTTTCAAAAGATACCGCTGGTTGCCCCGGCGACGGTTGCCCCTGCCAACGCAGTAGTCAACGGCAACGACACCACGTTCCATCAGATCCATATCCTGCCTCCACCGCCTCCTCCTCCACCACATTCCCATCAGCCACTGCTTCCACTTTTCACTTCCTTTGGCTATAACAGGTCACCCGTGACAAGCCCACAGGGAGACACACCTGCTGCCCCAGGTACACGGCCCCTTTTTCATTATTATTATTGTTATTATTATTATCATTATTATTATTATTATGTTTATTATTATGAAAGCTTTAAGGGATGCTTTCCTCATGTTTTATGAACTAATTGCCTGTTTAAAAAAATCTGATTGGCTATGTAAGATTCAAATTGGCATTTTTCCTGTTATGAAGGCATCCATTAAAGTTTTCTGTTATTAAATCATTATCCATGTAATTTTATGTGTTGCTCATACTGTCTAACTTTTGTTTTTCAATTGTTGCTGTTGTCATTTCCATTACTGAGATCCAGAATCCGCTTTGGGGAAGAAGAGTTTAGACCTCCTGATATTTCTGGTATTATTATTTTAGTTGGCTCTGTGGACAGAGATCAAACCGTGCAGGGAAATAGTTGCAGACCATTGCACAAAAATATGCAATACATACAGTTACAGGAATTACATTACATGTAAAAAAAAAAAAAAGATTATTAAATAAGAACCATAAAAGTTTAGATAGTTTGTCTTTTTAATCTCCAGCATACATAACAGTCATTTCACGTGGGTTAGGTGATAAAACTCAGATGTATATTGTTTTTTCTGTGTTATTTTCCATTATTACCCCATGAACTCTATTCCCTCATTACATTCAAATTGCTTTAATATACATTAACCTCTTAACCCTCTGTGGTCATGACAACCCCCAGTTCTAACCCAGTCCCAACACTAATCCTAACCAGTATGAGAAGTTAACTTTTATTTTTATTATCAGTCAGGAAAAAGAGAAAATAGTCAAACTGACACATGAGAAAACCTATGCACGTTTATTTTCCCTATAAGAGACCATTTCACCTTTCTCCAAAATACAGGACAGGGTTAGGGTTAGGGTTAACCTCTGCAAGTCACTGGCAGCTCATCTGGGGTAGTGGGCTGGATTCAGGTTAGGAAATCGAACAGTGTTTAGGAGAAAAATCATAATGCCACAGTGAATATGCAAGACTTCATTTGAAAGGTACCAGCTTCTAGTTTCTGAAAGGTTGCCAATGTACAACATGAACAAAACCCACTTAAATACTTAAACTCTTCCACTTGGGGCAAGAACTCGTCCTCTGAGGTTGACCCTATATTTAGGCAAAACAGTCATTGATGGGACTAATGTAAATACGTGTCAGTTAGAAGGACTATTATCTTCATCCCTTGAAAAGCCAGGACTTAAAAGAACAATCAGACATGACGTACTCTCAGTGCGTTGGGTTAGAGTTAGGGTTAAATTACTGATTCATTTAGCAGAAAACTATTTTACATTATTTGGTTGTATTCAGACCTTTTCAGTAAAAACAGCCCAACAGATGAGCAGAAGACAGACAAGCAGTCGATGCTGTTAAAGTGGTGCAACTGAGCAGCATTTTTACTAATAAGAGAAGTTAGGTGTCAAATAGGCTGGGTAGGCTCCTCATTTTGTGACAAACCTCTGTTCTCCTGAGTTGGTTTGTGCTTTAGTTGTCTTGATTTGTAGTTTTTTCCGTTTCCTTTGTTCTTCCCTCCTTCCCTTCACCATCGTCCCAGCCACCAGGGCAGCCCTGCTCCTTATCCCGACACGCTCCACTCGAAGCCTGAAAAGCCAGAGTGTTTTCTGTTCTGTCCTCGTCCTGCGTGCCGTTTCACGTCTGTTCATTTTAACATCACTTTTACCCACCTTGTTCACTTACCCTCACTGGATGTGAGTGTGTGTTTGCGTGTGTGAGTGAGCTGGTGAGTTGTTTCACTCTCAGGTGTGTTCATGTATTGAAGGGTTTGGAGAGTTACAAATCGTTATGATTGACAGAAACATACAGTAAAGGTGTTTTTCTTTTCATATTGGGAGGAGTTTTAGTTTGACAGCTTTGTGTTTGTAATACTTTTGGCGTTTCTCTTTACCAAATGGGGACATTTTCTAGCTACTCAGTGAGAAATTGCTTCCTGAATAATACAAATTTTATCTTCTTTGATTGTTGAACATGAGATATTAGCAGGGGGGGAGAAAAAAAGAGTAAAAGTTGGCAACTTACAAGGTATAAAATGTCAAGTGTTGCATAAGAGACCCAAATGCATTGCTAGAAAATGTCCCGTCAGTGCTGTGCAGGTAAGTTTGTCACTGATTGTAAACGGCTCTGTGAATGGGAGACCATTCTGTTACCTCGAGGAAAACGAGTCCTTCCTTTCTTCATCATAACGATGTCAGCTCGGCGTGTTTTCTCTGAGCCTCGATGGTTCAAAGACGGCACATTTCACGAGCAGCTGGAATATAGGGCTCAATGAAAGGATGTGGAAACAGACTGGTCAAAAACGTTCCCAAGGTCACTCTGAGGGATGCAAAATGTCCAAGAGGAGCTGTGGCATCGCAGCTCAGTTTCTCTGGAGCACTGTTGGTCACACATGTAAACCATTATCCAGCCCTTATTAAGATGGTTATAATGGTTTATTTATAATACTCTCCAAATGCACTACAGCAGCCCCATTCTGAACAGCCCAACATATATAATCACATATTTTTGGATGCATTATATATGTATGTGTATGTACATTATGGCATATATGTGTATATACACAGATTTTCATGTTATGGATTTATTTATGTACTATTGGTATATAAATGTTTTCATATATCTATATATATATATGCTGTGTTTTTTTCTGTGTGTGTGAGAGAGAAAAAATGTGTGTAAGTTTGAAACCTTTATTGCTCCTCTCTCCTACTGGACTCACTTCCTGTCTTTTTCAAGAATTACTTTAGAGTTAATTTAATTAACTCCACTTTATCCTCGCTGTTCTGAGAATAGGAAGAATATGAATATGAACATACGACAGTGTAAATTCATCCATTGCAACTTTTTTTATGGATCAAGGCAGGTTGTGAGTCAAGATGCTGTTGTCTGAAGCGATTCAGGGCTAAAATGAGAAAATGTGAGGCCACTGAGAGGCGTTAAACCTAATCTGGGAACCTCAGTAATCAGTCAGCCGTTACCATGGCCTGCACTTGGTTTAAAGTATATTTAAGGAGCAGATATAATATCATGTATTTTATACAAACTTATACATATAATATATATATAAATATATATCATATATGAACTTGTTACATAGTACAGTACACATACGTAGTAGTGATAGCTGCAGTATTAAGTGCAGACCTGTGTGCTAACCTCATATTAAATCCACTCTGAGGTCAAATGTGAATGCTAAATATCACAAACATATAAAAAGAAAGAGCAGACGTAAGCCCTGCAGGATTATTGTTAATCTGTTAGTCTTATGACATGTGGCTCAACCTGGTTAGCTATACTAGCACCCAAGGATATATTGATTATAGTATATAAAGCCTGTAAGGATTTTGATCTGACATTAAAGTGAGCTGGTTCGCTTATAGTGATGAACATGTGGACAGTTACCGCTAGTCCCACTTGTTCTGTGGAGCCTTTTAATTGAATACAAAGCTACCATACGCTGACTCATGACACATGGTGTTAGCAGCTACCTATGCTAGCTATGCTAGCTACCTATACCTACCTATGAAATGGGAACATTTAGCAGCAAAATAGTCAATTATTAGTGTTTTTATCAAATAAAAGTGTAATGCATGGCTGCATAAATAATTCTGTTCCACTTCTGCGTAGTAGGCAGAAAAATGAACTATTACTGCGTTAAGTGGCAGAACAACACCACTTTCCTCGGTCACTTTAGAGCAGTTAGCGGCTAACAGTGGTATTCTGTGTTGAAGGTTGTCGCGGCTCAGAGGCAAGTCCTCAAAGTTCTCCTACCCCGTCCAGCGGGCCCCATGGAGGCTCCAATGAAGAGATCTGGGTACTGCGCAAGCCTGTGGCAGGTAACTAAGCCGCGCTGCGCTGAGCCCTCAATCCCTGAAACCTGAAGGTCTGACCAGGGGTCAAACAGTATCTGACGCCATTCAGAAAAACTTTTCATACCCAGCGCTGCCATTTCTAAGTGCCTACAGTAGTACAAATGTCTGGAAGACAGAAACCACTCATCTGTTTGAGATGAGTGGTTGATGATGTGGTTTGAAGGCTTTCAGGTACTCTTTGACCTGCTCCTGACAGTCTCCCATCTCCTGCTTATCCTTCCATCCGAAGCTTAGCTGAAGTCAGCGGCCTTATGTGTAGGACTGCAGCCATCTGCATCGGTCTACAGTCTTTGTGCGTGCGTGTCTTTCCAACTGCTTGTGTGAGGACATCAAGAAAGCTAAAAAATCTGAGAGAAAACCCAAGAGAAAAGATGGTGTGTGCGCACGTGTGTGTGTGCAACATGTATGAAAGTGTCTTTATTCCACTTTTCTGTTCGTCACTCAGTCGTCCCGTCTGTCCGTCCTGTGCATCCAACCACATGCTGCCCAGTGCATTTCAATGGAGAGTCACACCTCTTACCACACTGCTTTGGATATCAGCTAAACCACTCAATGCGTGTGTGTGTGTGTGTGTGTGTCTGTGTGCGACTGTATGCATCCATCTTGTTGCATGTTTGCATTCGTATGAACAAAATCTATACGTGTTGTTTGGGCGGTTGCATGCGTGTGTGAATGTATGTCGTCTGTGTGTGTGTGTGTGTGTGTGTGTGTGTGTGTGTTCCAGGTGGAGATCGCAGCAGCGTCGGTAGTTCCGGCAGTGTAACCAGTGTGAGGTCATCAGGCAGTGGGCAGAGTGCTGGCAGCGCTGCACACATCCTCCACGCACAGGCTGAGGGGGTTAAGGTACCCTACACACACACACACACACACACACGCAAACACACTTGACTAAACCTAACGGATGATCTTAAACAAGTAGTGAAATTTTCTGAGGTATTTTGAAATGGTCCTTTAGGCTACGTTCACACTGCAGGCGAAAGCGCATCAAATCCGA